ATTCTTGGAACAACGACGACGAGGTCTCGTCCGCGCGCTCAATTTCGTCATGTGTGTCTACCTGCCTACGCTTGTTTCTTGCTTGTCTCATTTTCGCTCAGTAATCACCCCGTCATTAAAGAGGACGGTCTGCTCGCCGTATTCCTGACGGTGTCCTCATTTGAGGAATGGCGTAAAACTGCATCTATATCTCTTGAGGAAGAATCCACAACCAAGCGTGTGGACCATCTGGAAGAGATGGCAATACCCAGCGACTTGGAGGACAAGCTCCTGTACGTCCTCGTTTCTTCCCCTGTACATTTTTGCCTTCGTACTGCATTCTCACGTGCGAATCACAGGTCCGTGCGGGAAAAGATGAGCCAACTGATCGACCTCTGGCAGCGCATCTGTATCCTCGCCGAGCGGGCGGTGAAGCGGCACGAAGCAGCGGCGGTACGAATACGTATTCCCCACACACCCTTCTTATTTCGCACTCACAATTATCTCGTTTCTGCCCCCCGCGGCGATGAACAGAGTGATCTCTCGCGTATCTCGACGGCAATGCGCGCAGTCACTGAGACCAACAGCCCTTGTTGGCGCGGCGAGGAGTGCGAGTTGTCGAATGGCGTCAATGCTGGTCTCGCGCATGTTGCCGCACATGTGCAGCGCTATGCGGATCTGGCGGACTTGCGGGTATGTTAATTGATGTTTAATCGAGAGATTGACGTGGTGCTGAACAATGGTTTTGCAGAGTCGTGCGACGATGGATACGTTCATTGAAGGGCTGAAGGTGTGCTACCTTCTTCCATCGATTGTTTGCTAGAATCGATGTCACTTTTGTAGATGCAACGAGACCTGTACGTCGCAATGCGTGATCTCTTCGTGAGACACGATCGCTTCTCGGTCGACCAAGTGGACCGGTTGAAGAAACGCGTGGAAACGACGTCGCTCAAGTTGGAGGGCGTGCGAGCGTCGGACAAGGACGGGTGGGAAAAGGAGGCCGACCGATTGGCAACGTTAATCGAGCGCGATCAGGCCACTATCGTAGCGCAGCTCAGCCGCAGGGTGTTTATCCGTGCATGGTGTGTTTTACTTCATCTCGACCTGGTCTACCAACATCCATACTCCTTTTCGCCGATCGTTGCATTTTCTTGCTGACCTTGTCTGATTTACAGTATGTGGAGTGAACTGAGGGTGGTGTTACACAACCGTGAGAACACCCTGATGACGCTGTTGTTGCAAAGGTTCGCCAAGGAGGAGCGTGCATTCTCAGAGGGGGTTCTGGTGAATTGGACCCAGCTTAGCGAAGCCATTGAGGCGATGCCTGTCGAATGACCAAAATTGGAGCGCTTCGCGAACGTTTTATTGCATTTATTCCACCATCTGCGCCTTCGTGTTTTCCAGTATCAAGTAAGCATACATCCGGCTATTTGCTGCCTTGGGAATTGATCTGAACTAGCATGTACATATATTCCTTTGAGCATTTATTCCATGACTCTTCATGACATCGACGTCGACTGCAAGCGGCTGCCAGTGTACACTCGCAAATTTCTGAAATTGCAACGCTGTACTGACCCTTTTTGTTTTACCGCTTCTTTCTAATGCCAAGTCCTTTCATGTACATGGGCCGTCCTCCCGGCATCCCACACTTCTTTGACAGGCGGGATGCTTGATGGTGTTCCGTTGTTTATCGATGCGCGTTTGTTCCCCCCTGGACGCTCGCAGGCGATTATCCTGAAAGCTGGAGGCGCGACAAGCTCTTCGTGGACACAACAACGCGGGGTGTAACAGAGGTGAGATAAATGGAAGCTTCCAGCTTTTCACTGTGAACTGCCGTTTGTATAAGTTTGAGTTATCGATTCAGGAGGGGACGCTGCCATGAAGAACTTGAACGTTCAACGGGATGTCTGGGCCCAAGTGTTCGCTACGACCAATTCACGGGACAATAGCACCTAGAGTCGTGAGTCTATATCTTGCCATATGTTATGTTCCTTTGGTCGACTCGATTCCTTTCGCAGTGGCCGAAATGTGGCGGCGCGCTGCGGAGATATATCAAGTGTGAGCGGGCTTTCAGAAGATGGTACATGCGCACAGCCACAGGTGGATCAGTAACCCCAGCTTTTGTGGGAAAGGAGCTCATCACTGGCAAACTGAAGCAACCTGCCACGTGTATGGTGCATGTATTGATAAGTTTTTATGTCACAGAATACCTCTTCAATCTCTTCCTCGAGGGCTTGCTGTGAATTACGACACAACTTGTCGAGACGCCATCCAATTTCACCCTCTATTTCTATGCGATAGAGCCCCAGGTCGTGGCTGTCGGCTTCATCTTGGTTATCGATGCATCAAATACCGCACAGTTCAGTAACCTGACCGTGCCCGCTGCAAATCGACATGATCGCTGCAGTGAGGGCATCTCACATGACGCTATTCTGCGCCGTTCCCTCAGTATCTCACACACGCGTTCCATAGGCTGTTTCCGACTATCGTTAAGGAGCTAGGCGTCACCGTCAACTCGACTCCCTCGACAGGAAGCTGAACGGCGACTGCAGACGGAGTGCACAATTGACGTGATCGCATCACGGCCTAGTCACCCATTCTGCCATACTTCTCTGCTCTGCGTGCAGACGGTGTATAAATCCTCACTGTTGCGCTTTCCCTCTACAACTCGACTCAAAATCGCCCAAAAGACAATGATGAATGCAAATTCTATCCATGCAGCGCTTGGACTATCACGGAGTTAAATAGCACGCGCTCTACAAGTGAACCATGCTCAGGCATCTTTGAACAAACGTGGGGAACGCGCTTTCGGAACGCTATAGGTATACCTAACTCAACCAGTACTGTCTACGAATTACCACGTGCAATATCCCTCCGAAAGACGCTTTGGTTGCTTTGTTCATTCAATCTTCCACGAGGCCCGAGTCTGCATGCGCAACCATCGTGAGCGAATGATATTCATGTTCTATCCCCGTGGCGAGCCAAGCAAAACTTACATTCCAACTTGTATGCTGCCTGTTGCTTATCGTGAGGTAGCGCGAGGTTTTCTTGAGTTTCAAGGCTTCTGCCGCCTGTTCCTTTAGGTCATCCGCATCGACGTCGCATTGTGTTCGGCAGGCCGAATAGCAGCCTAGCGGCCATAGCAGCCTCATATAAAGGTACGACTGCATCTATGGTGTTCTCCTACTTGGCGCGTTTATGCTACCGTCATCGTTTTGTCAATTCTCTTGAATATGCTGCGTCTCCAGGTTTTTGTCTTACTCCTTTGGGGGATGGTTACTTGTCTGGTCAGAGCTGGCTTCCACTACTTGCCAACGCACCCGGTTCCTCATGGACATGATGAAATAACTGTTCCTCTGCATCGACGTGCCAGCCTTGTCTCTGAGAATGGCGTGTTTAACCTCGAGCGGGCTACTGCACTCACTATCGCCACACAAAATAAACACAGACAGAACCTGGTCAACCTGCGAAAGAATGCCGGCGAAGACGCGCTACCTCCGGTAAGATTTGATTTCCTCCTGATCTTCGCGTTCTAACCTCCATGCCTGACAAAGGGTGCCGTCATAAACGCCGTTGCAATATTGCCCAGTCGTATCGCCAACAATCTGCTGGAAAAACGGCAATCGGTATCATTGACCGACGAAGACGACGTTGAATGGCTGGGGACCGCATCTGTTGGCACCCCACTTCAATCTTTCATGATCGACTACGATAGTAAGTGTCGTCATGCGTAAGGGGCAGTGCGCATTATCTGAAGTCATGTCAATGCAGCTGGTTCCTCTGACTTCTGGGTCCCATCGTCACTGTGCAAGACAACCGTGTGCATGTCGAAGCGACGCTTCGACACCAGTTTGTCCTCGACGTCAGAGCGCCAATACGGAGTTTTTGAGATTGGGTATGGCGACGGTTCGATGGTAGTCGGTCAAATCTGGTCGGATGTTGTCAACGTTGCCGGAATTAAAGCCATTGGCCAATATTTTTCTCCCGTTACGACTTTGTCAGATGACTTCAACGGCGACCCTTTAGATGGGTGAAGTTGGTTACTCTTTCGTCTTACAAGGACATTCATGGTCTTTTCAGAATCATGGGTCTCGCATTTCCAAGTCTGTCGGAAATGAACGCTTCGCCCTTCCTTCAAACAGCGCGAACGCAGGGCACCTGTCACACCGGCACTTTCGCTTTTTACCTCTCGACCAACGGATCGGAGTTGCACCTCTGCGGCACGAACCACCGGCTCTACCGCGGAGGCATCGAGTACCACAATGTCACGTACATGGTGGATTCTCATGGCCGCAAGTTCCCAGGCTTCTGGCAGATAGGTAGCGCGTCAGCAAGCCTCAATGGCGTGCGTGTGAATGGGACGTTCGAAACAATCATCGACTCGGGGACAACGATTATGTACGGCCCACCAGATGCGGTTGCGGCGCTCTATGCGCAAGTCCACGGTAGCAAACTTTTCGAGAAGGACCAGGGGTTGTATTCGTTCCCGTGCAATGCTGTGCCGAGGCTGGTGTTCAGCTGGGGTGGCAAGGATTGGCACGTATCTAAGGAAAAGTAACATCTTCGTTTGAAACCCGGATTTCCGTCAGGCTGATGCCGCTCTTCATAGCATGAACTTAGGAACTACAGAGGACGGGTCGTCGGATTGCGTTGGTGCCCTCGCTGGCCGTGACATGGGTTTGGGAACAAATGTGTGGCTTTTGGGAGACAGGTCCGTCTGTTTCCGGTCTGTGCATTTGAACATCTGATGCGACGATAATCGCCCAGCTTCATGAAAAACGTATACTCTGTGTTTGATTTCGACAAGGAAGCCGTCGGTTTCGCTCAATTGGCTGATTCGGCCCCGTCATGATAGGAGCAGCCTCTGTAATGTTTTCTTCTTCCGCACAAGGTCATTGCGTCATTTACATTTAATACTTTGCTCATGCTGCGATTTTCGAATATATATGCATTCCGCAAGCAATCCAACTTCGGCCCTTATGTTAGGTTGCGTAGGAAAGCGTTGAGGGGGTAAACAAAAATGACGAGAAGGGGATTCGAACCCCTGCCAGCATACGCTGATGAGAAACCCTTGAACGGGGCAAGCCATGTATAGCTTGAGTCACACTCCTTAGACCACTCGGACATCTCGCCACCTTTTGGACACCAGAGTTAATCATTGTAAAATAGAATATGGTGTTGATTCAACAGGCCAGTATGGGAAAACTTCAATTCAGTATTTCAAAACATCCTTTATTGATCTTCTTATCTTGATTTTGGGACTTTGTTTTTCTCACAACTCCTGTCAGAGTAAGACGCGTTAGCCCTGGAACGATCAGGTGACCGCGCTCTATCGGAGGATGCCGAGAAACTGGGAGTTGCCGAGATGCCGACTCATCGAGCGCACGAGCGCATCAGTCAGCGACGGTCAACTTCGGTCGACCCTCAGTTTTTTTGCCTTAGTCAACGACTCCACCGTTCAGCTCGTTGGACAGACCGAGGCTTCTGCACCATGCAGATCTTCGTAAAAACGTACGCTCGTCTTCTATTCCATCAATACGTTGTTTGACCGGGATTTTAGCCTCACGGGTAAAACAATCACTCTCGAGGTAGAGTCCTCGGACACAATCGACAATGTCAAGGCCAAAATTCAGGATAAGGAGGGGTGGGTGCATCCATGCCTTCGCTTTTCCATGTTTCTTATCGTAGTTCTGTGCCGTTAGTATTCCCCCGGACCAGCAGCGCTTGATCTTCGCGGGCAAGCAGCTTGAGGATGGTCGCACCCTCAGCGACTACAACATTCAGAAGGAATCGACTCTTCACTTGGTGCTCCGCCTCCGTGGTGGTGCCAAGAAGCGCAAGAAAAAGACTTACAACGTGTGTTTCTTTGCCTCACGAATCTGGAATCGCTCTGACGTCGTAGTTCTCCGTTCCAATAGACCCCCAAGAAAGTCAAGCACAAGCGCAAGAAGGTCAAAATGTCTATTCTGAAGTACTACAAGGTGGACTCCGACGGTAAGATCAAGCGTCTCCGCCGCGAGTGCCCTAGTGCGGAGTGTGGTGCCGGTATCTTCGTAAGTTGCGCTTCCTTGCTCAGGGACTTGTGGGCACTAACAATTGTATAGATGGCCTTCCACCAGGATCGCCAGTACTGCGGCAAGTGTGGTCTCACCTACACTTTCCAGCCCGGCAGTAAGCCGCCTGTGGTTTAGATCATCTTGTATGTATGTTGTATGTGCTATGAATGATACATGATTGCTGTATGATTATTGCCCGACAGCACGCCGTGTTGTGGTTGATGTATCTTTACATCGCTGTTGTGATGATCCAAATCTTGCTGGTTCTTGCTGTTGAGGATTTGTTTAGCCGGTCGGACGTTCATTGTTTTGCTTACAAGGACTAGCAATGCCGACATTACTTCTCTCCGTGGTGTGGGTGCTTCTCTTCTGCTTGCTATTATTATCAAGCTCAATGACCGTGCTCGTCGTTAACGCTGCTTATCCGGATCCCTCTTCATCCGCCATTTTCAAATCAAGTATATGCACCTGGTGACGATCCTGGAGAGCCACGCATCATCCTTTTGCTTTTTCTCCTGGCGGCGGAATATCGATTACGAGGATCTTGGCTTTCAGAGTGCTTGACTTTCGGCGATTTCTGGATGAGCTTGTCTTGTTTCCTGGACCAGAAAATGCGAACCTTTTCCTGGTGTATTTCAATCGTCCGATGACATTAAATAACATCTTACCTTTCAATTACCGTGGCTCCTCGGACGTATGTACGGTGTCTAGAACTACCGGGAACTACCGTGGAGTTGTAGCATTTAGCATTTGTGTTGGAACGAATGTCGGTTGTCGAAAGAGATAAATCCGACGTGCAGCTTCACATTCTTTACTACGATCTATTTAGCCGTGGATAACATTGCTGTTGGACTTTGCTAGGCCTCTAAACCGGGAGAAAAGTCGCGCGAACTCGGGAAATTCATTCGTCAATTGATAAAATAATGACTTGCAATGTCCTCAACTAACTTCGGTGGGTTAAGGTCGGTCGTGTAGCCTCCGAGGATAATACAACGGTCGCCGAAAATACACGTGTACCAAGAAGTCATGTGGCGACACTGCGGCGCGCGAAGATAGGGGAAAATTGTGCATGCGCCACCCGGGCGAGCAGACCGTATGCAGGCCGTTGAACAACGGAATCGATAACCGAGCAAAATGAATCCAAGACAAAATTAGCCATATCAACGATTTGGCAACTGTCCGAGGTCAAAGCTGCACGCCGACTTCGCAAGGATCTACTTCGCGCTGCGCAGCGCCGTTTGTAAACCCACGCCACTCAGAATGGCAAGAAGTGCGGGGATACTGACCGGCGCGGCGCCCGACGGAGCTTGCGTTCATGGCTCACGGGGGCGTGTAGAAGGCTCCTTGAAGGCACCCCGAGCATCTTGTTCATAAAAAAATCTGCACCAGGAGCTATGGTTTGCTGCAACGAGCATCTCTGATCTTGATTGTTCGCCCCACACAGCATTTTGGGTCGAATGGACTGAAGAAAGAAGGCGGACTTAATTAACTAAGCGACACATCAATGATGCTGGCCAGCTTGCGATCTCGTGTCGCTTGGCTTGAGTTGGCTCGTCGAGGCCCGTCGTCGCCGGGACCGTCGGCCCACATAGGCTAGGTGTGAATTTGTGTATATTTTAAATGGGTCCCGTCTCGCCGAGACAACAATGCAAAGGAGGAAGTATGGACAGCAGCAAATTGGCAGATCTAGACAAAAGAAGTTACGTCACACGCGGAAACTCTGAATGTCATCACTTAAAATTTCGTAAAATGGGATGGGAATCGGTATGAGCTGGACACGGTGATTGTCGGACTCCGACGTAGTTGTACAATTAGCAGACTCAGACAATCGATGTGGGCATACACGGTCACGATGGACGTACGTATACGGCCACTGTGGGTGTCGTGTCAATAATGGGCATCGTGGGGAAGTGCACACGCCTACCTTAAGGGTCCTGCATTTGAGTGATAAAGGATGATAGGATAATCGACAATTCGAAGTTAATGTGCCCGTGAAGCGACCACATTAGTACATAGCATTTCGTACGAGATAATCGACGGGAGAGGGGCTATCGTGAATGTCGACCTCGCCGGGGCTTTGATACGTTGCCAGGAGAAAGGGACATGTACAGGATTACAAGGGGAAGCCGAGTTGATAAGGCGGGAACGAAAAAGGCTAAGTGTGTTCACGCGAACCTACCTGGGCACTGAATATGCAACGCCCACCTAGACACATGTGAACCACTGAACATCTGCTGGCAGTGCTTGACGGGATATGCCCACCTTTCTGGACAATGTCATCAGAGGACTTACGAACCACGTACTATACGAATTCCATTGCAAGGGACTAGATGGATTTCGCGTTCGAAAGCTCCAAACGTGAAAGCTTCACTGCGTTCCAGATGTTCGCTAGACTTTCCACTACAAGGCACCGGTCTTTCGTTATGAGCGATCAGCTTCTTCCACATACACGTGCTATGAAACAGACCGCTGTGGCGCACTTTGGATGACAAGGGATGCAAAGCGGCAATCCGGCGAAAAGGATGGCAAGGGATATAAGCATGAAAAGCGCTAGTGCATGCGTACCTCGACGAAGATGTATAATTAACTATCCAGAGCCAAGAAAGTCTGCAGACTGTCAATAATTTTCAGGTCGGCCGTTCACCGAAGGACAAGGACCGTCGGTTATCAACGACGGGGATTTGAGAAGGGACGGCGTTGAAAAGCGAACGAGGGTAGGCGAAGAGCGTGAACGCGAGAGACGGAGGGCGACGGAGGTAGGTTTCTTGAAACCATGAGGTACGGGAACCAGAACGGGCGTACAGCCGACCGTATGAGATGATGAACAGAACAGGTGAGAAGCGGCGAGTAGCTGACCATGAGTGGACATCATCATGTAACTGACCGCGCTACATAGGAACACGAGCAAGTGTGTAATCGACCGTGATTCATTTACCTGATACTGAGCTACAGGTGCTTATGACAGGGAGCACTATCCTTACCGATGCTCGACGTTGCTCGCGTACGTGAACACAGCACTACAAATCAGTGTACGTCTGGTTGTCTTGTCAAGGAGTCAAAGGTACAACCAGGCAGAGACAAGCGCCATGGCCAAAGACACATTGGACACCGGAGGTAAGTCGACAGCCACCATGCTGCATCAAACCTTGTCGATGACCTGGCAAGTAAGGGAGAGGCGTGGCGATTGGCCGCGTATGCTGTTCCCATGCGGCCTAGTTCGGAGGCAGTTAAGCAGGAGTTGCAGGTGGAAGCAGGGGTAGGATCTGGTAGGATTACAAGCCAAGGTCGCAAGCGCGGTGATTGCCTGTGTCAGGCTGATACATAGCAGTACTTAGACTACTTTACTTGACTGAAAGGTGGACAACGTGAACGGATTGCGTTGCAACAAGGCATGAAGCCGTAAAACGCCGTGTACTTGGCAACGGAGCGGGTCAGCTGGGAAATGCAGCCATTGAAACTACTTTAGTACTTACGGATGCAGTCACTGGAGCACTGGAGGCATGTGGATACGGAGAAGAGTGGGAGCTACACGGTACGTCAAGTGGTAGGAGTTGCTGAGGCCAGCTGCGTTTATATTTTTGCGTGACAGGAATACCACACGAAAAGTGGATATGGCTTGACAGCCCTCATCGCGCAAAAAACAAAGACATAGGTAAACAGACACCGGAAGACAGAGAAGCTGCAAGCAGACGTGGAAGCTAAAGAGGCTCCTACAAGTGAACAGAACCATCTGACAAGAACGGGAAAATGGGGGAGAGGCGCCGGTTTGAATGCTGCCACGAAGAGAAACTGAGGCCGTTATCTCGGGCTGACGAGAACACCATATGAGCACCATGACGGCGCGCCAATTGGAGGAAAACAACCTCAATGAAATTATTTATTTATTTAAAGAATGATTTGAAGATCGAATACTCTGATCCGGATCACCGGTTGCCGGCCAACTGAGCTTCTTGCAATAATGCTCGCGCCAGATAACAGTTCCTCGACCTTCGCTTGACATTCGTTTTATTCCTTCTTTCTTTCCGCCATCCCGCTTCTACCCCAGCCCGCCGCGCGCCTCGTTGCCGCCATCGTCCG